ACTCAAGAGTTTTCACTCCTCTTTTATTTCCTCTGGGAGGAGCCATTCATCATCCACCTGTGGCCTTACTCCCAAGTTGACCCCTGTTATTTAGCTGTTGCCTTTGTCTGGCAACTCTGTGCATGCGCACACTGAGAACTGGCTCCCAGCTGTTGTTCTGCCTCACTGACAGCTGACTCTGAAGGCAGCTGAGAACTGGCATACGGCCCTGGCCCCCTCTCTGCCTCCAACACAGAGCCCTCATCAGAGCCTTCCCCAGACTCCAGGACTGGCCCATGTTCCTCCCCAACCTCCTCACTGTCCGAATCTGCTGCTAGCTCTGTTGGCCGCTGGCGGGCCACAACACTAGCTAAAAGATCCCAAACCACCATTTGTTGTTTGCAACTGGACCGCGGAAAGTGCTTGAGCGCCCATGTGCATCTCCACTTGCACGAGCAGTGGGCAAGCAATTGCACGCATAATCCATTTGTGTGAACGGAAGCCGTCTGTGCTCGCTGCTCACGCAAATGGAGCCGCATGCGCCCTTGCCGGCCATTCACGAGGAACTGTCCCCTTTTTCCCAACCTTTCACCGGTCCTCAAAGCTGGAAAAGTTGGGGGACTCTTGCCTAGCCCACAGGTGCATCTGATTGTCAAATATACCTCTTTTATGATCATCTTAAATTGTCTTTTAAGATGCATTTATAAGTAAAGAATAACGTTGCACTAGGAGGAAAACTCTTGAGTATGAGCTTTTGGCTCAAATTGGTAGAGATGCAAACAAAGGAAATTAGAAACCAAATCATTAGTAATAAGGGACGGGCAAGAACAGCTTTCAAATCATCACCATTGTTCCTAAGAGGCAAAATAACCCATTTCTCTAAAGTTCCAAAAATAGATGCTGTGTGATGCTGTAGGAAGAATCGTAGAGGATGAATTTAGCCATTCCTGCCCTACTTTTTCAGCCTGGCAAAGTAATGAAAAGATGACAATCATTTTGTCCTATTTCAGAGCATTAATGCCCCTGATCATTCAGGTTCTATTTAGACATCATGTTGATTCTCCATTTTTACCCTTAGGCTTATCATACACAATTCGGAAACCACTTGTGAATAGTAGCCTTCTTCCACAGGTTTTAATAGTTGTGAATTTACAGCCGGGTGTTCTACAGAGAAGTGTTGGTATTTTGTCCATCCAGTGTCAGTGGCGGAATGGGGTAAATGACACAATGGCTTTCCATGCGCTCTTCACCCAGTGTGCATGTTGGATTATAAATGATAGATGTCCGCTATAGAATATTTTTCATTTAATCCTGGCTGATTTGAAAGAAGCAAACTTTGTTTAAGGGCTGGGAAAAATTGCTAAATGCCTGTATAGTTTCGATGAACTGGGATTAATCAATAAAGTTGCAGGATGGCAGCTTTGAAGAACACCAGCCTAAAAGATGGATGCAATCGATTAAAGATACCTCTAAGCAGCTGTCAGCGGTATGGTTTTGTCTGAGCAGGAGGAATTTACAGGCGGCGGTTACGTAGAAGTTGGGTTGACAAAATCAGAAATGAGGAGGTAATCCTGGGAAAGCCAAGGGAAATCATCAAAACCATTAAAAAGCAGAAGTCAGAATATTTTGGACATGTAATGCGACACCTGGAAAAATACGGCATCCTTCACTTAATCCTCCAGGGAAATATGGCGGGCAAAGGAGGTCCAGGCAGAAGAAGAACATCATGGCTTCAAAATCTAAGGGACCGGTTTGGACAAAACTGAACTGCACTTTTTCGTGCGGCTGTTGATAAAAAAGGATCGCCACCATGATCACCAACATCCAGTGACTGATATGGCACAAGAAGGAGGAGGAGGAGGAATGAGCTAATTTTACAATTCTTACTGATAAACTACAAACCTAGGATCTGCCAGTCGACTTCAGTCAATAACTGCAATAACTGCCCATTCATTGGGATTGGGACAACCAGTGACGTGCGGTGAGGTTTATGGCTGGTGAGGCAGTCCTCTCCCCCGACACGCCACTGACTAAAGCACTTTCTTTCGCTCGCCTGTGCTCGCGGCAGAGCTCAGGCGGGCTGCCGCGAGCACAGGCGGGTGAAAGAAGTGACTTTCTTTCGCCCGCCTGTGCTCGCGGCAGAGCTCAGGCGGGTTGCCGCGGGCTCAGGCGGGCTGCCACGAGCACAGGCGGGCGAAAGAAAGTGCTTTAGTCAGTAGGGTGTCGGGGGAGAGGAGAGAAGGCCTGAGCATTGCATTTATTAAAGAAAAAAGAAAAGAAGGAAATTTGAAGGAAAGAAAAGAGGAAGCATGGGGTGGGGGTGAGCGTGACCGGTCAAAACCGCGCTCGACTAAGCTGCGCCCGATTAAACCGCGTCGCTGACATCATCAACAGGGCAACAACAGCCAGCGCGGAGAAAGAAGGGCGCTTTAAATAGCGCTTTGAAAACAAGCCGATTCAACTTAAGGTAAGGGTTAGCTTTAGGGTTAGGTTTAGGGTTAGCTTTAGGGTTAGGTTTAGGGTTAGGGTTAGGGTTAGGGTTAGGGTTAGGGTGTAGGGTTAGGGTTAGGGTTTGTTTTAGGGTTAGGTTTAGGGTTAGGGTTAGGGTTAGGGTTAGGGTTAGGGTGT